TTTTTTGTTTGGCTGAGGAGAATTCCCCCAATTCTACAAATCTTACTTTTTCGTACAATGCCAAGTATTTCCCGATGTATCTAGATTTTAGATTGAGAATCGGAGAGGGAATGTATAGTCGTATCTCGAGGAGACGTCACCGGTTACCGGAACAATGGCCACGAGTTGGTGCCGTGATCTCCGCCGGCGCTTCGATGACAAAACAGACGGGTACGCTTCCGCATTGTGGGTGGGGAAAATAGGGGGAGGGTCTTCTGTCTGGCAACCAGAAAGAAAATGTTAAAGAAATTAGAAGGCGTTGCCCGGGCACGCGGCGGCAGAGAAAAAAGCCCGGGAATTCTCGCCCCTGACAAAGACGTGTTTTCAGGGCCAATCTAACAGCCATGTGGTTACCATGGTGCACAATTCCAACTCGGGGGCGACTCACTCTGGCACTGACCACGCCAAATGTAGTCCCATTCGAATTTCGAATATTTGTGGCCAGCTGCCAAATCACAAATGCCGCCATTTAGATGATGAATGTGATTCGCATGTGTTCGGAGCAAACAGATTAATTCCCCTTATTAAAAGAAAACCCTTTGGTTTGGCCAATGGATCCTAAGTTGGCAACAAATCATTCCAAAACATTTGATATATATTGATAGACAAACCATAATAATATTAAAGTAATAAGTGTACTTAAAAAAGTTAAACAGAGAGTCACTACCATTATATTTATGACTATTAGTCGAACTAAAAAAAGAAAATTAACCAAAAAAAAACTAACTGAATAAAATGAAGTTTACTAAAAATAAATTAAAGTAACATTAAAAAAGAAATATTTTAAAATGTAGTGTTTATAGGATGGCAACAAGACTGGCCACAATATATATGATAATATTCAGAAAAACACAGACAAAAAACCATAAAGCTCGTACAGCCTAATGGCAAAAGAATTTGAAATGGAAAGCGTTGTCATATTTAGAACAATTTTCAGAAATGTATCCACATATTACAAAAGTTTATTTGAAATTTTAATAAATTGAATTTAGATTCTGACGAAATATAATAAAATGCATTTTCAGTAAGGTTTAAATTGAACTGATATTTGTAGAATTTGTTATGAAACCATTTTAGATAAAGTTATTTATATCTTAAATATTTTTTCTAACAAAATCGTATATGTTTTTAAAAAAATATGATTGGAAAACCAAAGTTCGTTATTAAGGGGGTTCCTTTTTTGTTATCGCTCTAAAATTGGAACAAGGCTCTCCGCTTTCGTCGTTATCCTTCACCCAGTTTTAGGGGTGTATCTAACCAAATGGAGCCTTGAGAATCTGAAATTCTTCGCTCGAGCGGCCAGCCAAAAAGCTCGCCAGACGACGACGACCAGCGGATTCATGACCAAATGGGTGCAATGTCAATAGCACACGCCCCACTCTCAGAAGAAGAAGATAAGCCAGAAAAACCCCACTCGGCTCGTGTGCCCCCCATTAAATACATACTTTCATAAGAGATTTTCTTTTTTATATATCTAGACATTTCTACACATGCAATTCGTTTTTTGAAGAGCCGCAATCGGAAATGAAAATGAAATTGCGCCGCAAGCCGAAAAAAGCAGCCGCGATAGTGCTAAAAATATTGTCTCGATCTGTAGACAGTCTATAATTGTACTAAATTATATAAATATTTAAAGAGTATTTTGTTTGTTTGCCCAATCGTTTGTATTTGCCGTCGGCCAAATGTAGATCAAGTTTAAATTAAACGAAACGAAGGTGGCCAGCTGGGAAACGCCTTATTTGTAAAGTGATACTAAATAATTTATAACGGGCTGTGATTAATAATGCAGCGATTTGTAGCCCAAAAATATAGCCAAAAATGAAATTCCGTGAGAAAACACGAATATGCAGAGCATCGCTGAGTCGAAAAATCAAAATTTGGAAGTCCGTGACGGAATGAAAGCGCCAAGATACATATTTTAGGGGGACCGACAGGGTAGTACCCTATAAAATATTACTTAACCATAAATTTGTTAGTATTTATACAGTAAAACAAAGCTCAGCTCAAAATTAATATTTCAAAATGTTAGCTAAGCGGAATGAGTCAATAGAACATTATATCACTCAATAAATAAATGCAAGTAACTATATTTTTATGACTAGTATACTGTACTCGTGCTGTTTCTCACTAAAATTCAGAAAATGTAAATAAATAAAATTATACATTCAAATATTGTAAGGAAACAGTTCCTAAAAAGCATGACCTAAAATATTTCAGCTTATATACAAATTCATAAACAAAACCAAATTTGGCGTGGAAAAATTATTTTTGTATGGGAATTATACGGAGAATTGTAAAATAATACAAACAAAATTGGAATAACAACAGAAAGGCCGGGCACAAAAATGGTTAATAATCGGGTTTAAGAACGAGAATTATTTGCGAAGCGGCGAGCGCAAAATAAACAATTTTGTTATTCTTTTCAATTGCGTCAATGCGGGGTCTCAGAATTCTGGGGAGGTGGGAAGAGGTGGGTGTACTTATAGGGTGGCTAGCAAGTGGGCTAACGAGTGTTGGCCCCCTCAAATCAGTCTGGCGCTAGGTATTAGCACACATTTTGGCCCTGTCTGGAAAACTTTGCGCGGAATAAGCCGATGATCGATCCATCATTATCTGCGATCGGATCAGTAAACAATATTCGGTTCTCTAAACAACACTTATTTCGCTTTCATTTTCTTCCGGCAGACAAACGCAGAATATTTTTGCGGCTGTTGCTGTTTTCGATTTTTGTTTACTCAGTCGTCGGTTTAATGACACAAACTGAGGGAAAACTTGTGCACTCGGCTAGAAAGCAATGGATAAATGTTTTTGTTCTCAACAGATCTCAAGAACGCTTAAATTCGGAACCTTTGAAATACAATCTTTTTCAGCATTGAGTTCAATCACTTTGGAGTGTAAACAAACAACTTTTTAATGGCGTTCTCAACAGTTTTGAAATTTTGTAACTTGAAATCAAGAGTTTCATTTTAAAATATTATTTTTTGAATACGTAGAACCCTATTTTTAAAAGATTCTGTTTTCTTATTTATTGTTGATTCGTTGATTATGGTATTTACATTTGTATTATTCCCAACATTGAGTTCAACAACTTGAAGTATAAACAAATATTTTATATAGGCGTTATCTGAAGTTCCTTGTTGACGTCTCATTTTTAGAGGGTGCTAAGTACAAACTATTACCCTCTGAATACCTAGAAAACGATCTTCTTTGTTTTCAGTTTTTATCGTTAATCCATCAATTATGAGTTTTCATAATTGTTGTTTTTCAGAAAAACTCATTGTTGGGTGTTTTCATAGGCACACAAGCGGCGCAATATTAATAATTATAATTGCACTGCGCCTCGAATATCCCAATTGCGTTTTAATTTCACTCCCCAAGAGGAGGATGGGTTTGGAACTGCCCAACACAAGCCCCAAAAAGGGGGCTAAACATCTAGCCCAAGTTCTTTGCTGCGAAATTTCAGCCTTTCGCGTGACTAATGTCCCATGTTCGGTGACGTCGTGGATTTCGATTCTAAAATCTGAATAAATGCCAGAACGCCCAGGTATTAATACAAAATAATGTGCATTAATAAGCTGAAAATGTGTGTTTTGTGAATAAACTTTGTTGAATCAAAGGAATTTATTTTGTGCAATTATTGCGATTCCACTTCTCGAACCCCTAGTCTGCGTCAAATCAATTAAAATTGAAATGGATGGCCAACTGTTGGGAGCCAACAGTCGCCGGTTTTTTCGATAGTGTGTCCCCAAAATAGATCTGTTGGAAATATATTTTGAAAACGTAAATCCCCATTAACATTTTTCTTATTGAATTAAAATATTTGAAATTTTTTGTTTCTGAAAATAACACTTTTTAAATGACATGTTATGACTACAAGATCTATAAGAAATAGTACTTCCCAGTTCTGAATTTCAAACAGTTCCACAGGTAGTTCTTCTGAGAGTAAGGGTATTCTGAAATGCATATGTTCTATAACCGCACGACGTGTGCTTTGCCATTTATATTTATTTGGCTGCGTGGCCAAGTTTTTCTTTCAGATGGTTCAAAGTTCAAGGACATTTCCAGTCAAGCATGAAAGCAGATGCATTTTAGATATAGGAAATTTAAATTAAATGTCGTACAGAATTTCAGAGCTCAATTTAAAATACATAGTCTTAGAAGGGTTGTAGAATTATAATGCCATATTATAGCCAAGAAAATGTCATTTTAAATTATTAAAGGATTGACCTTATAACACATTTGATAGCTTGAAAAATCGATGTGAATATCAAAGTATTTATAAGCTCTATAATTAATTCAGCAAAAGTGGTCATCAGATTTCCCCAACAGCTGGGTGGAAAATTAAATTGATGTCGAGAAAATGCGTCATATAAATAACAAAAGCCCTTATCTTATCTTTCAGCACTCGGTTGACCATCATATATAATCTGAGCGAAATAAGTAAACGGCGGGCGACTTTCGCTGTCACAATGTTATTCCAATTGATGATATTGGGCAACTTATTTGCTAATTAATTATCAATTTCGTGTGACAGCGGGCGACTTCAGGTAACTGATTACCGGCCACTTAAATATGTACATAGATAAATAACAAAAAGTTATAGCATTCGAAAGCCAGATAATTGGTATTTAAATTATTACTTAAATATCCACAGATAAATAAATGCATTTAGCATCCATAAGACAAGTATAATTGCACAAATATCATTTTAAAGACAAACTAAACACTAAGGTGCAATTATCCAGATACTCTGGAATCGCCAGAGGAACCCTACACGTGGCAATTGGGAATCAATAGGCTAGACCTTGGACTGATTGTTGTTTTCTTTCGATCAATTTTGTTTTGGCGCTGTTTTTTCCGGTCCTCTTACGCCGCAATTGAATAACAAGCCACCCAGCGAATTGGATTACATGCTTAAAAATAAATATTACCCGCCATGGAGAAAGATGAGCATATTGTGCATTTTTTTTAGAAGGTTTGTTAATTTATTTTGTTGCAGTTAAAACAATTTTTACTTATTCACGTTTCAAGCCCAACAATGAAAACCCAACGCCGAAATACGTTTAGCCTAAAATGCCAGTCTGATATTCCCCGGGAAAAACAAATTAATAATAGTAGATAATAAAATTAAAAACAAAAACTGGCACAGTCCCCGCCGGATTTGGATGTGGGACCTGTTTCGATCCGATCTGCCTACCTAAAGTTTCGTATTTGCTTACAAAATTCGAGTGAATCGCTCTTAGGTCCTACTAAACAAGTTTTCTACGACAGAAATCTAGGATTGCAATATTTGTGTGTGGTTGTGTGCTAATTGCTAAATGTTATCTAGACGGGGTAGTACAAAAATATATTTATATCCGTATGTTACAGCTAAGTGGTCATCTAGATGCCGAGCAAGCACTCGCCGTTCCCAGGAGCGGCTGCTGCGGCGAACTCCGCTGGCTACGCCTGCGTCACGAAGTACACCTCGCCGGAGGAGCCCACGACCACGGCGTGGGTGTCACCCGCTCCGCCGGCCAAGGTGGCACTCTGGCCGGTGGTCATCATGTTGGACATGTCGGTGGTGCCGTTGCTGACGAGGCTCACCGCCCCGCTGAAGCTGTCGTCCTGGCCGCTCATCTGCACGTCCGCAGTGTGGTCGGTGCTCTCCACATGCAGCTGCAGCGAGTCCACGTTGTCATACAGAGATCCGCATTCGCCGCACTTGAACAGGGGCTCCACCACCTCCGGATGCTTTCGCTCCACGTGCCACTTGAGGTTAACCGCCGAGGAGAAGTTCTTCCTGCAGTTGCCCACGCCGCAGCAGTAGGCTCGCTGCTGGTGTGTCTGCCTGTGTCGGTACAGGATCGCCTTCGACTTGAACGTGCGGTTGCAGATGGTGCACACCGGGGTGCTGGACTCAGCATCGTGCGTCTTCATGTGCATCCGTAGCATGCCGGGGCCCTTGAAGCTCTTCAAACAGATCTCGCATTGCGGCTGTTTCTTGCAATTGGCCCGTATCCAGTTGGTGTGCGAGTGCATGTGGTTCTGCAGGCCCTTGAACTGCCGGAACTCGGTGTTGCACAGGTGGCAGATGTAGCGACCCGATCCCAGTGGCGAGGTGTGCTGCCGTATGAACTCGGTCACCAGGTTAGCGTCTATTTCGTAGTTGTCGTCCGCTCCCGCGGCCGCAATCACGCTGGCCGTCTGCACCAGCTGGCGAGAATTGGCTGCTGCCAGCTTGCTGCTGATCGTCGGTGCAGCGGCGGGTGGTTGGTGGTCGCAGGGCTCCAGGGTAACTCCAACCGGAGTGCCCTGATTGCCTCTCTTAGCCCGCTTGGCCGTCGGACTCGGCGAACTCACGCTCAGAGTGGGAGCCACCAGGGCGTCCGGGGTCGTGTTGGCCTGGCTGAACTCGACCACAGCGTTCTCCAGCGATATGCTCTGCAACTCCTCTTGCTGCTGATGATGATGGTGGGACTGTTCGGACTCTAGGAAGGCCTGATCAATGTCCACACTTGTGTCGCCATCCGGCGGCTCCATAATTGCGTACTGCAGGTCGTCGTCCACGTCGCCCGAAAGATGAGGATCCTGATCGTCCGTTATGTACTCGCAGTCCTGGTCGATCTCCTCCGCATCCGGATCCTCCAGCATCTCGTCGCCCTCCAGCTGTATCTCCTCGATGATGAACGTATCCTGGTCTTCCTCGTGCTTCAGATGTTCGTCCTCTTCCTCCACCTCGTCCATCGCCTGCTGTTGGTCCAAATCGTCAAAGTACTCGTGCTCCTGGCTCTCGCTCTGCGTAAGATCCTCGTTGATCATCACTTGGTGATGTTCGTGGTGGTCCTTGAGGAAATCCTGCTGCTGGTCGTCGTCCAGGACTATCGTTTCGAAGCTGTGGTCACCTTTGCCGTCCAGCTGTTCGTACACATCCTCCAGTTCCTCGTCCTCCACATCGCAGCCGTCCTCCAGCAGCTGGACGTCGGCATCGCCTAGCGAGGCGCCCACATGATGGTGGCCCATGTCCGTGGCGTTGGTGGTGGTGGTCACCGTCGTGACACCGGTGGGCGCCAAGCTGCGCTGCGGCACCAGTTGCACCAGCTGCAGTGTCTGCGTACCATTGGGCTGCTGGACGATCTGCAGGGTCTGCCCATTGGGCGTCTGTAGGAGCTGGGGCAGGAATTGCGACTGCTGAGCGGTGGCCTGTCCGTTGGCCGTCCCCTGCGGCTGCGTGCTGATGATCTGCGCCAGCTGGGGCGTCACAATCTGGGCCGTCGTGATCAGCTGGCCGTTGGGCAGCAGAATCTGCTGCGGCATCGTCGTGGTGGCGCCGGCAGTGGACAGAAGCTGGGCGGGAGCGGGTTGAAGCGTGGGCAGCTGAATCTGCTGGATCTGCTGCTGCATCGTGGGCTGTTGCTGCGGCTGTGGAGCAGGTTCCTGCAGCAGTTGCATCTGTGGCTGGGGGGCGACGGGCTGTGGGGCTGGAGCTGCCTCCAGAAGTCGCTGCTTCTGCTGGCGGGAGCCCTTCCGCAGCAGTGGCTTCAGCTTGGGCTTGGCCGGAGTCTGCTGCTGCTGCTGTTGTTGGAGCGCCAGCTGCACTTGCTCGTCGATCATCTTCTGCTGCTTCTGGAGTAGTCGCTGCTGCTTGCGCTCCAACAGTAGCTGCTGCTTGGCACTGGCCGCCGCCTGTTGCTGCTGCTGCTCCTCCATATCCTGGGCGACGGTGATGCCGCGGATGTAATCGCGCAGCTCCTTGTCACTGCGCTCGACGAGCGTCTTAAAGGCGTGATTCCGGCTCACGGCATGAACGCACTGCACGCAGATCTTGTCCGGCCAGCCCTCCGTGGGCTCCACGCGCACGCTGGTGCAGTCCATCAGCATTTCGGGGACCTTCTCGCTGAACAGCGGGCGCATTTCCTTGCGCTCCGAGATGCACAGGCGGCAGATCTTGTCCAGCTCCAGGACCTTCTTGCGATCCATCACTTTGTGTCACTAGGAGAGGGTGGCTGAAAGGGTTTACAAGGTGATTAGCTTCGAGTACCCATCACTTTACAGGTGAATCCCCGAAAGGTGCACGAATCCAAATTTGCCCGCCAAAATGGGCCAGTTTAAGTAGCAGCTCTGTTAGCCCGCTGCTATTAACAGTAGCCATTCAACGCATCTGGTAGCTCTTGCGCCGGACAGAGACAGCTATAGTGTTATACACAATTTAGCATCTTGGTGTTGGTGTGAGCGAAAAATCATATTTTCGGGCCCAAAAACGAAACAAATACATAATCACCGACTTGAACTGGCCAAATGTTTTCGATTCGCTTGCACCCGCACTGCGTGCACCTTTCGCCAGGGATCTTGAACCAGAACTCCGCTCACCTGCGCTGTATTTATGTAATTTCCGCAGCTCGCCCCACATCCACAACACACGAAAACTCTTCAAATATGGCCGCGTCACACAAAAAGCCTTTCGAAACTCACATATTTGTGATTATGGGGCCGAAACACGCACCTTTCCGCGGCAAAGGGTTCGAAACCAAAACAAGTGCACACCAGTGGGTCTTTCGGGACCCGGATCGGATCGAATGAAAGCACTAGACGTTATCAATAGGGTTCTTTCGATGAGATGGAGATTGAGATGAATGAATTTCTCCGCCAGCCGAACTGCTCTGTCTTTCTCTGTGTGTGAGTGAGATAGGCGTGTTGCAAACGGGGCTGCCAACTTGCTGGGCAGATAAGTCCCTAACGCGTGTCGGATGCGACTTTTGTTTATATTTTTTTTAAATTATCACAACCCTCTAAATACTTTTACTTACAATTCCCCACTCTTATTATTAAACCTTACCTTTTATATTTTCATCCATTGGTCTGTCTGCCTTGATTTAGTTTATTTGATTCCACTCTACTTAAAAAATCAAATCCACTTTAATAATTTTTCTACACTTGAACAAACATTTGACATGAAAACTCGTCAATGAAACAACCAAAATAAAATTAAAGGATTTGGCGTTAGCGCTGCCAACTCGTTTAATTAAACTGACATTTCGGAGTAGAACACCTGTTGATCCTGGTGCTTTTTCGGAATACAAAACTAAAGGCTAATATTTAATTTTTTAGGCTGGTGGAGCCACATTCGTGTTGGCCACTTCGTACCTCTGGCGCTGCTTGTGCCGCCTGCTGTGGGTGCGCACCACCAGATAAATGCCCAGGATGACGACGAGGGCCAGGAGCAGGGAGGTGACCACAAACCAGCCGTAGTAACCATCGGAATCCGCCTCCTCCTGGGCGTTCTCCCACTCGGTTAAGTTGCCCGATGGATCCTCCTTCAGCTGGCCGGCCTTCTGCTCCCGGAAGAGCGAGGCCTTGGCCAGATTACTCGATTCTGGGGCCATGAAAACCGGCTCCGTGTTGTCGATCCTGACGAAGATGAGCCTAGCTCCCAAAAGAGCTTGCCTGAAGCGCCTCAGTCCATGGCCATAGTACTCGTATATATCGGCGCCAAATTCCCGATGCTGGTCCACCCACTGCCCAATCACCTGGACCCGCACCTCGCTCCTGGGATCCATGCTGCGTCCGAAGTAGGCCTTCTCCGCCACATCCAGGCCGCCTACTCCATCCGCATCTAACTCCAGGACAGAGGAACGGTGCTCGAAGAGCAGGGGCAGCCTGGCCAGGCTCTTATCCTGATACACACTGCTCATGTTGACCAGGATCTTCTCCACAAAGGCGTAGTTCAAGCTGCCGTAGATTGGCTTCCTCTCCCCACTGGGATTCCGGAGCACGCTGTCGCCCAAGTGCATCTTGTAGCTGTTGGTCACATTGCGCCACGGCAGGTAGGTGATGTTCCGCAGCTGGTACATCAGCGGTTGCAGCTCGACCAGCACATTGATGTTGTCCTCCAGACCGTACTGCAATGGTTTCTGTATTTTTAGGCTATCTACGGATAAATCCCCTGAAGAAACTCACAAAGTTATCGCCGAAGATCATGACCACGCAGGTGAAGAGATTGTCGGACACCGCATTGACCAGATCCGTGTGGCGGAAGTGGCAGAGCTCCGTCTTCTCGCGTTCCACATTGGTGGCCTTGGCTATGTAGGTCAGCCGCTCCTTGGGATTCAGCTCGGCGGCGTAGTTCTTGAGCACCGTGTGGTAGGGCACCCAGGCCAGGACCGAATCCGCTTCATTGGCACACACCTCCGCCTGGACACCGCGTCCACTCAGCTCCCCGTTGTGCAGCCGCAGGAAGTGGTGGTTGTCCCGCTTGACCGTCGTGGAGCCGTGATCCGTGCACAGGGTGTCCACGAGACTCGCCTGCGAATCAGCCAGATAAAAGTTTAGACGGGAAACAAGCACCTCGATCGCCGGCTTATCTCAGCTCCGTCGGCATTATCTTCCCCAGCTACGATGGACACTTTGTCTCTTTATCGTCAAGCTAATTCAATTTGGAATATCAGCCACTCGAAGGTGGCACACGAATAATTTATGGCTGGCATTGGATTCGTCACTTAAGGATGTCGATGAGCTAAACTCGTTTGGACGAAACGGAATTCAAAGCCATTTAAGGCTGAAAGTTTTCATCTGCTTGAGGTCACTCTTTACAAAAATGGATAAATGTAATTCACTTTTGGTCACCTAATCATAAAACTAAATAAGTTTTATTTTAGACTGGCTTTTTGGAGGATTTTAAAATGTATGTTAAGAGTAAAGATTTTAGAGAATTGTTTCGATTAGAAATATAAACTTGAATTTAATTAAATGTGAGCAAAAATTCGAAATGTCAAAGATTTAACAACAAGGAAAATATTTTGAAATGTCTATTTAAGTAGATTGAAAGAAAGATATGAAACCGACTTAAATGCAAAGTAGATAAGCAATTAATTATTATTTCCTGCTTTCGGAGTGTGGGATACTGCAAAATGTATCATCCAATAGTATCTTTAAAAATACTAATACAATTTTTTAAACCTTGTATAATAACTACAAACCTTTGGTTTGATATATGTATTAGGTCCTTAATATTTTTAAGCCGAGACACTTAAGTATTCCTAGAACGTTTCTTAACTGGTCAGTTATAAAAGCAAGATATTTCAGCTTCACTTTAAAATCGATTTCAAGTATAAGATACTTAGAGCATTGTTAAACCCAATCTAAGGATTCACCTTCTCCTTCAGGGTCAACGTAGTGGCCTTAATGTGGCACTGCTGGTCCTTCTCGCTGGGCATGACTATGCGTCGATCGATCTCCGACAGGAGCAGCGGTTCCGTTTCGATGCAGAAGTGGGGGTGCTCCTCGAAAGCAGAGGCACCCAGCGCCACCAACACAGTCAGGCAACCGACGATAAGTAATTTAAACATTTCCGTAGTTCCCGTGGTCACAGTTCTTGGATTCAATTGCGCCGGAGCCGTCGATCAGCACAGGTCGGAGGACAAGTCGTAACTAAATTTGCAATTTTAAACCGACAACTGAGCGGCGGACGGCCTAATCGAACGCATTCCACTTGACCGCCAAGCAGTCGCACTGCGAGCACCCGAATATCACCATATTTATCTACTGATGAAGGATTCGGCCGAGATTTGCTTCGATTTTCGGTGAGAGCCGATCCGAAAAAACGTCACCGCACTGCCAGTTAGTGAGTAAGAACTGGGTGATGGGAATGTGTGCGTTCACCAACTTGGAGTCCACACACGGCGATAAGATAATCGGCTAGCATTCGACTCAAACTCCAAACAGACCGTATGTGTAACACCAGTAGGTCTATGCTTCAGGTAAAAATCAGGGTGGATCGATATTGGACAATTTCAACAGAATTCGATATCAAAATATCTTAATTCCTGTTTCTTTTAATAATTCTGTAATTTATCCTACTTAATTCTTAGTTTCGAACCGCATGTAATAGAAATATCTAAGAGTTCCCACTCATGAAGTAACATTCATTGCAAATAAATGTTTATCAAAAGGACCACTTATAAAAATAATATTAATTAAAAAGAATTCGTTTTTACACTCAAGTTGGCTTTACAAGTTCTTAATAAACCAATATATTTAATTTCATCAACTTGGAATACACTGGTATACATAGTTCACTTCATAGGCAAAACGAAAACAAATACAATTTTCAAATTTCTGAAACGAAATATATAATTATTTTCTGATCATTAGGGTATGCGCATGAAAACGCTGCAAAATTTAAGCAGATACAAAAATAGGGCTTAAAATTATACAAAACATGTTCAATTGTTCCTAGTTGCTAATATTTGATGCTAACACGACCGTTTATTCCTTTATAGCAAAAGTATACAATTCTTACTTAGGTTTGTACAGTGGAAATTGTTGGACAATTTACAGATTTGATTCTCACAGTCGGTATTCACGATGCGATCCCATTAATAATCATTTGCTGGCTACCATGCAATCGTGCGGCATTCGTATGTATGGTTTGTACAAAATTCAAAAATAACAGTTTAAATTGTAAGTGTAACAGCCTAATATCTAGATTCACTAAAACTATCGACGATTGTTGGTATCTCATCCTCCAGGCGCGCTGCGGACAACAGAGGATCGAACGAGACGAGACGACACAGTAGGAGAACAATGGAGCGGTGGATCGGTGGTGGAGGAGCTGACGTGTTGGTGTGGTGTGGAGTAGGAGGGGCTCAATCTAGGGGAGGAGAAAATACAAGTCGTACACGAACGGAGTCTAGAGATCTTGAATTACCGTCTGAGCTGCTCCTGTCGAAGTATTCGAGCACATCCTCGAAGTCGCCCTCGTCGTCGCCATTGTCGGATCCGTCGTCGTCGTCCATGTCGTCATCGGAGTCCAGCAGATCCCCATCGTCGTTGTCCTCATCCAGGTCTCCGTCCTCGTCGTTGTCCGAGCCGAGTCCTAGGTTGCGCAGCAGGGGGAATCCCATGAAATTCGGACCTAGAGCAAAAGCTACGGGGTGAGGATATTTAGGCTAACCGATACGCTGCAGATCGAATCCAACTTACTGTTCTCGGAGCCCGTATCCGAGCCGTCCTCATCAGAATCGGGCACCTCCTCATCATCTTCCTGCAAGCATAGACATAATATTTAGTTCAATATCATCCATCCGCCGCATGAGGGTTCTCAGATCTATAGCAGCGCCGATTCCGACTCCGCCACCGCCATTTAGATTCAGATTCCCATTCCCGCCGCCACTGCCATTGCCACCCAGTGTACGTGCCCGCCGTCGCACCCCAACAATTGAGCTGTTGGGTGCATGTTGGCGAGAAAGATTCGGACTTGCGTGCAAAGCGGGACTGAGCCGACGGAGCTGCTCCTCCTCGTTCAGGCCAGCGGGCGCCGCGTTCTCCGCCGGCTGTGGACGCGCTGATGCCTCCTCAAAGACGCGCAGCAGCGAAGCGCCGCCGACATCGTTGGCGTTCGCAGGCGCGGGCGCAACTGCGTCCGACACCTCGCTGGCCAGCTCCTTAACCGCACGCACCTCTTCCGAGCGCTCGCTCTTCTTCACGCCCACTGCGTAGATCTTCACATAGGTCTCCTGCTTGGACTCGTAGCCGCTGTAGTCCTCTACCACGGCGATCAGGCTCCCGTTGGCGCTGACGCTCAGATCGTTGATGTTGCGCTTCACGTCAATGGTCGCAATGCTCGAGTAGTCATATGCGTCCAGCACGTTGAAGCTGGTGTCGTAGGTGGTCGGGTCCATGTCGTGGTCCCTATCAGCCCCCAAACTGGCCCCGTAGATCACGTGCATCGGGGAGAAGGTGCAGTTGCGCTGATCCAGCACGGGCACAGTCTGCAGCAAGTGGAAGGTGCGCAGGTCCCACACCTCGGTATTGGCGATTATCTGTAAGGAAAAGTTGGGAGCATTAGCAAGAAATTCCCCGTTCAATTTCATACATTACCTCCAGGCAATTTGGATGGAAGACGCCCGATATGCATTGATTGAACTTCTCGAACTTGTGGATCTCCTTTCCAGAACGCACATCCCAAAGAACACCATCTAGGAAAATACATTTAATGGATTATAAAACGATTTTCTGATTAAACATTAACTCATTCCTTACCAGACAAAATCAGTTCATCGGTTCGGCAGAGAGTAGCTCTGTTTTTGGTGTATAGATTAGGTATGGTTGGCGTAAAAGAGGCCACCTTGGACCCAGTATTGATGTCAAAGAGCGTGCAACACTGCAAGGCAAAGGCAAAGATATTAATTTAAAGGAATACAAATATCAAAATAAGTTAATACCTCATTCTGGGTGCCCAGGAGGCGATCCTGCGCCGTCTGACTAAACTCACAGTAGGTGACATCGGGCAGCCGCAGCTTCAACTTGAACTCGTCGTCCGCAATGGACCACAGAATGCTGGTGGGCGTGCGCCAGAAGCTCGACGTTATAACCAGATCTCCAGCTCTGTTGGCCTTGATGGCATCCACGCTGAAGTTGTGGCAGTTGGAGAAGAACTGCTCCACGCCGTCGTTCATGTTGAACACTCGTCCGTCGCCCTGCTGCGTGCCCACGATGATGTACTTGCCCACAAGGTCGCAGCAGGTGAACTCCAGGTCCTCGTAGTCCGCCGATCGGATGCTGCGCCACGGAGAAAAGTGCGTGTGCACATAGCGACGGTCAAAGCGACTGGTATTGAAACCAGCTTGAGTGCGAGCATGCCGGCTGGTCAGGTTGTAGTTGGAGCTCAACAGGCGACTTGGCTTGGGATCCGGACACTTGTGCGGCTCGTACAGATCGAACTGCGGACAGGTGGTCACCGGGTTGTTGCACAGCGAGTGCTGGTTGGTGAGGTATTCTGTGACGATGGTATTGAGGGTGATCCTCTTGGGGTGCAGCTGGCCATCGTCAGGCAGACCCACTGACATGCCACCAGGCTCTAGCGATGACTTCTGAATCGAGCGGCTCACCGAGTTTCTGTCCGTCCTCCTGATTTTGATTGGCGTCTGCGTTGTGTTGAGGCAGCCAAAGTTCGGTATGCTCACTCCGTCCCCTGCAGTGCTGCTGCCTGCTCCTGCAGCTATCGCCGAATCCTCGCCGAAGCTCCTGTTCAGGTCTCCGCTTCCCATGATCGCTGCATTCACATCTTGCATGCGGCTTCGCAAGCGATTTCTGGACAGCGAGCTACTCCCGCTGGGAAGTGATTTGTAATCAAAAGGCGACTGATGGAAGCTTCGTGTGGTGGGCGTCTGCAGGGGAAGACCCACTTCGCGTTGCAGCATTTGGGCTGTTTGCGAAAGACCATTGCTCTCCAGGTGCTCGAAAATGAGCTGATACAGCTGCTGCTTGTTGTACTGGATGCGAGTCTGGGCAATCACATTGGCTTTGTGCATGTTGGAGAGCGACGGATCCAGCGGATTGTTCAGCGGCTTGGTTTTGCCCGACACCCGTTCGAGCAGCTCCAAGGCGTACTTCTGGAAGATCACATGTTCGGCGCGCTTCTCCTGGAGTATGGGATCGCGCATCAGGGTCTGGAGCTGTCCGCCAGCGAACAGCGGCAGTTTGCTGACGATCTGTCTCACCCGATCGGAGCGAGCTAGTCCCGCCAATGCTCGGCAGGCCATTCCCCTGATGCAGTCCGCATCCGTAATTGGTCCCTTGGTCTGCATGAGCGAAAGCAGCACCACTATGCCATTGTTGGAGCACACCGACTCCCATACTCGCTCAATCAGCTCCTCGGCGTACTTGTGGTTGGCCTTGTTCTTTCTGGAGGAGTTGCCAAACTTGATCAGGCTGGTGCCGCTATCCTTTCGGATGATGGGTGAGCAGACACAGTGGCAGAGCACTGCCAGCGCCGACTTGATCACCTCCGCATCCGAGGTGATCTCCCCTGCAGCAGCGCCCAGAACCGAGCAGAATCCCGAGGTGGTGGTCTTGTCCAGCATCAGCAATCGCTCGCAGAGCACCACATAGACCCTTGGAATAATACAGCACACACTTAGGACGTCTAGGGCCGATCGCACCGTCTCAGAGCGTCCACTGTTCACCCAATCGTAGCTGAAGGCGATGATCCTGAGGAGCATGGTGATTCCTCCGAGCTTCATCAGCTGATCCACCGGCTGCCAGTGAGCTCGAATAGAGGTGTGCTCCTGGAGCGTGCGAATCTGGTCGTGCAGTTGGTCGAAGGTCAACTTGGCCGCAACCGTGGGATTCTGGTTGAAGTAGTGCGTGGAGGAGGGCGACGAGGAGGCCGCGTTGTGCTGGCAGAGGAAGCTGTTGTACTTGTAAAAGAAGTGCGCCTCCATGTAGCGCTTGAGGGCCACGCAGACATGGCGCACCATTTGGCGGGAAGCACATTCCACGTCTTCGTTGATATCAGAGTCGTTGTCGCTGTCATTGTGGCTCGGATCCAGGATCTTAAGCACGGAGATCTATAAAAGGGGAATGGTATAGTCAACTTCTTAATTAGGTCTACCTATGCCATTGCGGTTTACTCACCACATTGTAGAGCTTTCTCAACCCATCCTGGGCATCGAACTCCTCCAATATGACCTTGAACTGGAAGCTCAGGCTGAAGAACATGGTGGCATGGCACTTGGAAGAGTCGTGGCAGCGACCCAGGATCCAAAGAGCGTAGCGCACCAGCTCCGAAATGAGGGGACGTTGCATACTGCATATGCGCTCCATGGCGTCCTCACAGTAAGCCAGGTAGTAGATGGCGATGGAGACACCTGTGGTGGCCAAACTGGGGCGTGGAACCTTCAGAAGAAGCTGCAGCAAATAAAAGAAAAATTTAAATAAACTTTTTCTTTAGCAAGATTAATTAAAACTCACCTCCAGTCCGCCGTGGGAAATAAACTCCAAGGCAAACTTCTTGTGGCAGAGAAGGGAAGCCAGATACTTGAGAACCTCGTAGGCCAGGCAAGTGTCTCTGCGATCCAAGTTCTCAAGGTAGCCGAAAATCAGCTGCATCACATTGTTTTCAAAGGCCATGGCCAGGAACTCCTGGTACTCGCCCAGGCTGGTTAGGAAGCGCATGATTAGCATTTGGCTGGTGTCCGCCGTCGGCGGATGCAAGGGGATGTACATGCGTTTGTAATAGCGGGACACGGGGAAAGCATCCCTGCTGTTCTCGAAGAGAATCGACATGTTGGAGGCGTCTCCGTGTTGCGAGGAACTGGCCCCCAGTCCACTGCCATTGTGCTGCGGCGACTGGGGAGCGGAGGCATTGCTGGCGCAGGCCACCCAGCTGAGCATTCCCGCCGAACTGCTGTCCGCCGATTGGTTGTGCTGCGAGGTATTGGCATCCGGACTCTTACTGATGGCCAGCAGCATGTGCAGCCGCTTGATCATCTTGGGCACCAGGCGGATGTTCTGATCGCGGAAGTTGATGGCTATGTCGCTCACTTCCATGGCTTCGGCTAGGAGCCCGGTGGCGTAGCTCTGGAGTGGTTCAATGCTGTCCTCCGCCCAGGAGTAGATACGGTTGATGGTTCCGTCGCCCTCGGCGGTCTGGAACACGGCCGAGGTCTCCATGCCTGGCATGATCTCCAGGATGAGCCGGCAGGCCAGGATGTTCAATTCCAGGGAGCTGCGGCTCACATTCTGACGACTGAAGTAGTTCTCTCGCAGATAGTCGTTGAGTAACTATAAAAGATTGGATTTAAAATATGTATTACTTTGTTTTTAGGTAAATGTAAAGTATTGGTATCCCTTAAGTTGGGAAAATGGATTAACATTCTACCTTAATATAATATTTAAATAGTTCGAATGGTAAATTAATATTCATATTCATAAGCGAAATATTGTAAGCTTGCTGTTGCAAAGGAATGTAAACAATGTTCAGGTTTCTAGAAAAATCTTAAATTATCTTTTTTATAGGAGGGCCTTACGTTGAAAAAAAAATACCCTTAAAACCATTTCTTACTTTGCCCATAAAGGTGTCCTTGCGAAAGAGCAGCTTGAGCAGCAATCCGTACTGGCAACTAGGATCGGCTCTATAGGGATGACGAGAGTCCAAAGGATCTGGGTCCTTCCGCCGGTACACGTCCTTCTCGCGCTCAAAGATCTCCGCCAGGCTGTGAGAGTAAAGGAATTCATTAAAAATGATGGGACGATATTATAGAAATCCTTTTACCTCCTCAGAGTGGGCACTGGATCGTACCCACTCTGGGTCTGCTGCTGCTCCCACTTGTCGATGATCTGGGTGAGCTCCTTCTTGGTGGCCTGGCGGCGGTCGGCGGCAGCAGCTTCCTCCGGATTGCCACCGCTGTCGCTTTCGTTTTCCGCGTTTTCCACGCTCATGGCGTCGCCATCGCCGTCGGCGTCCTCCTCGGCCTCTGGCTCCCCCTCACCCTCGCCGTCATGCTGCTCGGCAGGTTCCTCTTGGTCCTCCTCCTGGTGGTCGACCGGCTCTTCATGCTCCTGATCCTCCTCATCCTCGCTCTGGTAGGCCACAGCCACGGCCTCTGCCATCAGCGCTGCCTCAGTCGCCGCCTCTGCCTCGGCCGCTGCCTCTGCCGACGCCTCTGCTCCGGGCGCATTCTCGCTTCCACTGCCCTCAGACATCTTATTGGATTCCCGGGACTTGGGTGCACTTGCTCTAGTCCTAGTCGCACCGCTGACTCGCAACCAAACACTTTAAACTTACTTCCAGTGGCGAAATAAAGCGTGCGGCATAAAATACCACGCGCTCGAAATTTTTGCAAAGCTTGTAAGACCGCTCGCAGTTGGCGGGAAAATGGCTGAATTCCTGAAATACCAAATGAAATGTGACTGAATGGGCTGTGGAAAACGGGCACACCAATCGGTTTGTTTTGGTTTTTCAATCGATTGAATTAGTTCTTTATTACTCTCATTTTTCCTGTGTATGTTTTTCAGAGTTTACTGAAGTTATAAAAAGTATAAGGAATGACCTCGAGACCTAATTTACAGCAACAAATAAAAGCGCGCTAAAAGTTGCCCCACATACTAGAGTGACCGCGTTGTAACCTTAAAATACCATAACATAGGTCTAGTATTAACAGCCAACTGCCATACAACACACTGATCGGATTGTTTTGTTTTGTCGGCCGATTTTAGCCGAATATAACTACGTATATATCTTTATCTTCTGGTCCAAGTACACATCATGGCCTTCCTCTACATACTGGGCTGGATATCCCTGGGCATACAGATCGTTTTCCTGACGCTATCCATAGGTGAGGTGTCGCTATCCGATTTTCTGACTCAACTGCAACGTCTGCAATTGTTTTCCCAGTGGCTGGACTCTATTATCTGGCTGAACTGGCCGAGGAGTACACCACGACGGCGAGGAAGTGCATCCTCTTCCTGATCAGCTTCACTATCTTCATCTACATCCTGCTGATGCTCTTCGAGGACCTCCCGTGGAGCCTGATAATATGTGGATTCGTAGCCCAGGGCTTCCACCTCGGAATCATGGGAGGATTCCCCTTTGTTCGGTTCCTTTCGCTTCCGCTGCTGGGATCCTTGGCCATGCTGGTGGTCAATCACTTCCTGGCCTTCCAGTATTTCACCACCGTTTATGTGCCTTTCACGCAGGTGAGTTAGGATCAGCGGGTTCCAAACGTTTAATAATACTTCAAACATATGTGTTGCATAAATCATTAGTCATAAATAGCGCATTCGTTACATATAATACCTTCTTTGGGTTCTTCTTTAATTTATTAATGGTTTTGGTTTCTGCTTGATTTATTTTTAAGGATTTTTTCGTCGGTAAGGTGAAATTATCTACTAGGAATGTTTATAAATTTCTATTGTTGATTTATTTAAACTATAGTTAAAGAACTTAAAAGTTAATACTATATTCATTACAATACCATAACAATGTTTTTATATTGTAGTACCTAATATTTGATAAAATCAAAACTTTTTTAGAAAAATTAATTTTAGAAAACTGTAAAATCAAATATTCAAAACTTTAATATACCCCAAATATATATTTTTAATTTTATATTTAACTTTAAACCCGAAACTCATTATATCGTTTTTATCACCAGGTGCTGGCCTACTTCACTATCTGCATGTGGATCGTGCCCTTCGCCCTGTTTGTCTCACTCAGCACGAATGATAGCGTCCTGCCCACCACCGTCAGCGACCAGAGCCGGCGCAGTCCGGACGTGGTCAGCAACTACTTCTCGCGGAACAAGAAGCAGGGCCTGCTATCACTGTTCCAGTATCTGAAAGACACTCTGCTCCCTGGGCGGACCAAGAAGGCCTTCTAGACGTAGTTTATTTAATGATTATTTATTTTTGTAGCTGAAATCGAGACAAAAGTATACAAAAGCGTAGGTAAACTACGTTTATGGAATGACATTCGCTATTGACTCATTGGATATGGTATGAATAACAAATTGTTAGTTCTTAAGAATAACTGATAATTATCTTGCTATGTCGTTATCAATAAGACAGTGATTTAAGTTTAATAGGAATCCCTTGTAGCGACTTTCGGATAACCATATTTTGTTATCATTTCAAAGAATAAATTCGTTTATAAAGACAATTAAGGAATACATTTTGTGTAGGTTTAGTAACTCAATCTTTAATTATTTTTATATAGGCTGTGTAGGTTTAGTAACTCAATCTTTAATTATTTTTATATAAAATCTTCACCGTTAAGGAACTTTGCAGTAATAGATAAATGCAAGGAGCGCCACAATGGCACCCCCAACTCTTCTCAAGAAAACATGTTAGATAGTTGAACTTTATTCATAAACCCCTTACAACTACTTGTTTTGAACTTTGACCGTGCCATCGGCCATCCCGTAGTAGCACTTGTGGGCCATGTTGACGAACAGACCCGTCTCCAGGACGCCCGGAATCATGGTGATGGCCCGGTTTACCTCATCCCAATCGTACTCCCGGTTGGCGATGAACTTCCAGTCCAGCAGGAAGTTGCCATTGTCCGTGACAATGGGTCCAGCCTTGACCTTGGCCATCCGCAGGGAGGCTTCTCCGCCGAAGAGCGCCTCGATGTGTAGCTTGATGGGCACATAGGCCATGGGAGCCACCTCGATGGGTACGCCGCGGCACCACTGCTCACCCAAACGGATGGAGTTCTTCGTGTAATCGGCCACCACGATGAAGTGCTTGGCGCAAGAGGCCACCACCTTCTCCTGGAGCAGGCAGCCGCCGCCGCCTTTGATGAGCACCATGTGCCGGTCCACCTCGTCGGCCCCGTCGATGGCCACGTCTATGTTGGGGTTCCTGTCCAGATCGCCCAGATTGAGGTTGTAGTCGAGGACCAGGTGGCGCGCCTGGTAGGATGAGGGCACGCAGATGAGATCCGTGAGCTCTCCCTCCTTCCACACACGCTCCGCGATCCGCTGGACTGCGTAGACGACGGTGGAGCCGCTCCCGATGCCCAGAATCTTCGTATCCTCCGTGACCCACTGATCCACGGCCGTGCGGGCCGCCGTCTTCTTAGCCGCATCCAGAGCAATGTCGTCCATGTTGCGGATCTGGGAGTAGAGTAGGGGTGCCCCTAGAGATAGTGCTTCGCTGAGATTTTGGATGAACCGCGGTCGCTGGACGCCTCGTCGCAATAACCCAGATAACATGTGGTTAACAGCTTTCGGTTTCAATCGCAACTTCAATGTCACAGAGATCAAGCCGCCTGCGGTTCTTGAGACGCGCTAGGGATTCTCACCGCTGCGCCGGCCAAGTTAACAGCACTGTTAAGTGGCGCGCGCTAAAGTCGGTTATTTGAATTCTCTGTTGCATATGGCTAGGATAGTTTGAGTGCTTAAAAAAGTGTAGTATAGCTATATAAATCTAAATTTGACAATAACTATATCTCGGCAGCTTTTCATGGCTTCCTCAATAACAGAGTATTAAAATGTAAAAAATATTAAGTTTAATGTTCTTGCTGGGAGTAGAGCATTTTTAACCATTCCAAAACGATTTATTTATAAATTTGAATATGAAATACAATAACCTATTTATAAAATAAAGAAAAACATGAAATAGTTTTGTTGAGCTATCTGCAATTTCTGCATTAAATATTATTTTTAAGTGTTTCACAAATATTTGGAATATTGAAAAAAATGCCTAGTTTATTTTAAAACTACATTTATTCCCAATTCAATAACGTTTTACAAATCATAACTTAAAAGTAAATTCAAATCAACATATTTTTTTATTGAATTTTTGTTAAGAAACATTTATAGTTTAGTTATTCTGGCACAGGTCTTAAATAATATAAGTTTTATTCTGGTTTCTGGGAATCTTTTCTTTTAGTTAAATATTTCATTGCAACCTTTAGTTTTTGGCACATGCTGGCATATAAAAGAAATTCGTCAAATTCAAATGCTTCACGACCTTTAGATACGTGGTTCCAACAACCTTTTGGTTAAGTCTAAGGTTACCACCTTGGGGGCGAAGAAGCCGCCGTAACCAGGTCGTCCCTTATAGTAGATTCCCAAGCCGGCAAGAGGAACCGCGGGATGCGGGACCACCTCCTGGACATCTACGAAAGGTAAAGTGTTCTGGGCCGCATCCTTCAACTGGCTGGAGCTAACGAACTCCATGTACTGGTTGTCTTTAGAAAGTGGTAGCGATGGCAGCTCCGAGGCGGTGGATAAATCACTCTCCTTTAGGATTAACTTCTTTCGCTGACCCTCAAGATGGGAGTTTTCATTGCCTAGCCAGTAGCTCTTTGTCAGCGGTTCGCTCAGCAGACCAGTGGAGAAATTAAAGTAGCTGAAACGCACCTCCAGGTTGAGGTGTTTCTTGAAGATCCTGAAACGAACTCCGGTGACCACTTGGTCGCTTGAATTAACTGAAATCTCATCCAGGTCGAGGGCTCTGCTGTCCATGCTCAGAGTGTGGTAGTCGTAGCCATCGCGAATGTCCACATCACTCACGTTGTATTCCTCAACAGGCAGCCATTCCAGCGAGCTGTTGTTGATAGCTCCTCGCGGCAGGAGCTCGCCTTGCTGAAGCTGCAGGTGGAAGACGCGCTGGCTCTTCACGAACCGGACTCCAGTCACGATCTTGTTCTGCTTGAAGTCCGACATGGAGTCACGGAGGTTGAAGTAGCGATCTGACTTGGGTCCAGGTTCATCGCACAGGCAAAAGCAGTAGTGGCAGCGCCAGAAGATCCAGCTGGACCAGGAGGAGGGTTCCCTCACCTCGGACTTGCATCCCTGGCCCTGCTTATCGGCGCCGAAGTTGATGTACTCATAGCGCCTTGAGGAGCTGTTGGAGGCCAGACAGATCGAAATGTCCGAGTAGATGTAGTTGCAGTTGTAGAGTCTTCCCTTGCAGGTGGGCTGCTGGCCACAGAACTCTTCCTCCGGCTGATAGCAGCCACTCGAGCGGGTATCATGGTAATCGGGGCATTCGCTGCGGCAGCTCTGATCCGGATTCAGGTTGACCTCGTTCTCCACGAAGCCCTGCAGCAGGCGTGTGACGCGGTCAAAGGTTTTGCCCTCCACGTGTTGATCTTTTCCAGGATCGCAGCGCCAGTAAAGGCGGCTGCTGTGGGACATGACCTGCTGGAGCACCTGCTGGGCGTGCTCCAAACGCTTCTGGTGGTTCTCGCGCATCAGCAGCAGCTCCTGGGTGAAGTTTCCTCGCCCGAACTGCCGGAGCATCATCCAGGAGAACTCTATCATGGTGTAGCCCTTCAGCTCCGTGAAAACCCACTTGGTGAAGAGTTGGTAGGCAAACTGTTGGGCCGACTGCCTGGCCCGGCACATTTGTTCTGGGGACACCTCAAAACTGGCTGTTAGCTCCCAGAGTAGGGAGTGCGTGTAGTCCTGTTCGGGGGCAATGGCGTCACCTAGGTAGAGACAGTCGTGGTGCAGTTGCAGCAACAGGGATAGCGAATTGGAGCCGGGATCCACGTTCCACTTGGCAAAGTTGATCAGGGTGCTGGGCTCCAGGGATTCCTGGTGCTGCTCGTAGGCCTGCAGCTGTTCGTGGCGGAGATCTATGAACTTGGTGAAGTCCCTCAGCTGGTTGAGGCGGTGTAGCAGGTTGGATTTATCCTGCATCTCCCTCAGCAGCGTCTCAATGGTCAGGGCAGTGCTCCTGGCCTGCTGCTCCTCCAGACTCCTGATGTTTCCGCTGACCTCCTCGATCTTGCTCATCATCTGACGCTGGTTCTCGTAGATCAGGGCCCCCGCGGTGATCTCAGCCACGGGCATCTTGTTGATCAGATCCCATGACTTAAGGATGGAGTGCGTCACGTCCTGGATCAATCGTATTATGTCCACTGTTTCCTTGACCCCTCCTCCACTTCCGGGAGCGGTGAGCACGCAAATTGCGCAGCAAAAGAGCAAAAATTTCATGGCTTCCTAGGAAAAGGCACTTAAAAGCAAACTCAGCATATTTCATACAGTATCGGCCTACCCTCTTGAATTCCTCGCCAGCTGGAGGGTGTATGTTTATTTATGTATGCTCTATAAAATAAACCTCGGTTGTGTCTCCTCTGCGAGCGGGCAGCTACTTTTACGACCGATCACTTTTAAAGATTCTTTTGAACTGAGTTCTGAGTACGAACGCCTGCACATTAAGCTATACTTCCGCCATCTTCAAACATACGAGATCTTAACGCCTCTTTAGCTTTGTGTGGTATTTTCAATGCTACTGCACTATAAATACTAAATTCAGTATTACTTTTTACTATTCAAATTTAGTTTAATAAAAAATAACTTGTAAATGATATATTTGAGAAAGATTTAAGGGTATTCAAAATTAATATATACATTTTATACAATTATACTATAACTCTATTTTTTAATTTTAAATTTCAATTAATGATTTTGATCATAAAGTTTTTAAAACTCTTAAGTTATATGTACATACAACTTCAATACTTATAAAAATGTTTTTGTTATATTTCGACTAATGTTTTAAAAAAAAGTTAAAGATTAATTCAACAAATAAATTTTACTTGAAATATCAAAAAATTGAACATTTTGTGTATGGGGTAAATAAATATATTTTTTTAAATAATTCCATAAAATATTAGTATAACTCATTGGTGCACTCTAGAAATAAATCGTTGACCACGATAATACCGAAAACGCACAGAGAAGCATTTAAAAGTGACTTACTGCCGGTCGATGAGTAAAGTCGAAAAGGGGAATCCCCGCAAATGGAATGGACAGGAGTTGCATGAACCAGACATACAAACATACACACATACATGTTTACCGAGAATATTTGAAGAAATTTAATACTTTTAGTGCACAAAGCGAGAACTGTTGAATGCCGAGCGATAAAGCTGAAAGGCAGAACACAATCACAAAGGTGATTGCAATTTTTCTGTAGCCGAGCAGCAGGCGGAAAAGCTGGAAAAATCTGGAAAACCGGAACATAGGAGCCACGTGAATGGTCAGGGCAAGACATAAAGATATAGAAAAAAAGGGGAGCCCGTTTGGGGGAGCGAACAGAGATGTGAAAAGATAGTGGGCCAAAGAATTTGTGTTAATGGATTTCACTTTTTAAGAAATAAATTACTATCTCCGTCCAAGGGGAGAATCCGGAGGTCGAGCCGCAAACAAAGTTCCAAGCAGTTTGGATGATTGGATGGGATTTCCAGTCATTAGCAAAAAAGATGGCACACAAAGGCCAGGGGAATGCAGGAGAGTTCCATCAGCTGGGGATTATAAGGGGGATCATAAGGGGGCAAGTCCTGCATCGATACGTATACCTACGTACCTGCCAGTCCCTGGTGGAATTACTGAAAGCGGAGCTCTATTATTGCAAGTGAACATAAAACAACAGCCGACCAAAGTAAACACCAATTAAGAGCAACAAAGAGGGTTCAGAAAAAAATCGGGGAAACACAGCAAATGCAAATTGTTAATTAAAGAAATGGGCATTGTTTAATGCGACCCATGTGAAATGTTCCAGGCCAACACCTGAGCCCAGAACCTCCCATTTCATAACCCTCCTCCCGGTGCCCTTCTCCATTACTCGTGGAAAAACATTACATAAGAAAAAAAACATGCAAGAACTGCATTTGTTGGGTTCAGGATGTAAGGATACCCTGCCAGGATACACCATCTTTTGGCACCTAGTTAAAATCTAGTTCTGAACTTAATTTACGAGCTATTGTAGCCTTATTAATCTATGATATTAAAAAAACATTTACCAATTTACCATCTGATAATAAGTAATAAATCGAAGTTCCGGTTCATTGATAAAGTAGATATTACTAATATAGATTAAAAGTTTTAATCATACAAAAAGGTAAAATACGTTTATAATGTTAAGAGATGAATCACTTAAAACCATACATTAACTTTAATCATATTCTAAAATCTAAAATACTGACTTATCCATCTCGGTATAAATAATTTTAAGGATGTAATACATATTCCCAGAGCCTAGAGAGGGTATAAATATTTGAAAAAACAACGAGCTAAGGGCAAGAGTGCAAATGGACCTACGACCCAGTTGCAGCTGCCCCGACATCCATTATGGCCTCACCAGCACCTCAAATGGGACCTGAAAAAAATGGCGGAAAAGTGGCGAGAAAAGTGGGGAAAATGCAGGCTTTCCCTTTGTGCGAGTTATGATTGCCCGTGCTGATGATGACAATGTCGACTCTCGGGGACCGGGGTCCCTGCATCGAACGACTTTCCAATGGGCACGATTTATAATTTGATTAGCGCATCGCTGAATGCACACGGAAAAGAAAATCACGCTCAAAAGTCAGGCGGGAAGTGCAGCCGAGTGCACTGAGCGAAATCGGGCTGGGGAAGAGGGGAGCATGGCCACCTCTTATCTCATCTATTGCAAAATGGAGCGGGCCATCACACTCCGTTAGATGACAATGACAAATGATGATGGAGGGCGGTCGCAGGATTATCCTCCAGGAAAAAAAGGAATCCGAAACCAAACCGAAACCAAAACCGAACTAAAGTGAGCAAAAAGCATGCTTTTCTCCCTTGGCTTTCAATTAATCCCGGCAAGTGGCGCTTTTATTGAGCTAGGCCTGCCGCCATAATCAGTTGTGTTTTGTTCCCCAAAAAGGCAAAAAATGGATGGAAGTCCTACAGAAAAACACGATCCGCCCAAAAGGGTTTTATCTCGAAACAAAGGCGCCGAAATTTGCCTGCCATTCATTAAACAATGAACAACAAATCCAGCTGGGGGCGTGGCGCGCTGCCCGGGAAATAGATTAATGGCCCCAGACAAGGCCCAGCGAATCAATTTATTACACAGCCGACAGTTGACCGCAGGAACCGGGAAAATAGGTGTTTTTCAGATCTTTCAAAACATGAACAATGCAAATGAATAACGAATAACTGAAGATTACATTTAATTCGTTCTTGGGGGATAGTTTAAATTTTCATTTAAAAAAAAATATTATTTAATATGTTGGTAGTAATGATTTGTTTTGTTAGACTTTAATGTGACTATGGTATACCATTTTTAAACATTTACTTAAGATCACAAAATTATAACGTTGCTTTTTTGTGAACGCTGTTAAAGAAGAACCCTTGTTATAATAAACCAGGCTAACCAAATATGTATTTCTCAAAAAAGTAGTAGTAACCTAATCATAACTGGGATCAAATTGATTGGGGCCTATCATTTCCAAAACATTAAGATATTATTCTCATTTGATTTATTCTGATCTATTTACAGATTTAACTCTCTGACAGAAAACCATAATAACTAAGAGAAAAACACAATTCGTATCTCCCAAACACATTCGGAAATAAGCGGTTCCTAAAACTTGGCTTTCGAGCACTCGAAGGGAGTGCAGCAGGGATAGCAATCCGGGGCCTTGATGCAGCTCAGTCCGAATCGGGACAACTCGGCGGCCTCCCAGGCGCGATCCTGCTCGAAAAGCTCCATCATCCGCTGGCGCCTGGCCCCCGTGATTAGCTTATCCGCCGTATTCATCTCCACACTCATTGGTTTCACTAGGAAGTTCACTATAGAATTTCCAGAGGGGGTCTTCAGAAGATCCCGATTGTTCAGCAGTGAGAGGCTACTTAAAGAAGGGATATGAATCGATGGAATTAGGAATCCCCTTTCCATCACTCTTACAAGTCCCCGGCTTTCTTCATCTTGAGTGTTTCCAAGTAGGTCAGGGGGCAGTGTGCCTAATGTACGGTGATTGAAACACAAATGTAACCCAGCCGACAGATTTCTCCGGGCCTGGTTCGATGCCCCAATTAGGTTCCCCACTAATCGAAGGCCCAAGGATTGGCCGGATGGAGATGGAAATTGGGCGGAGTGTTGCAGCTGACTGACACTCAACACCGTTTGCCACTCACAGAAGGTCAATCAAGTGACCTGAGAAGTCGAACCAGGGATGGGAAGTTGGGGCTCGGGGGTTAAGGCACTATACACATCCGTTAACAAGGGTGCTATTAACTTCAGAGGCTGAGTGCAAGTATAAGTACACTTTGCTATTTACTAGGAGCTTTCATTATTAAATAAATTAATAATAAGTTTAGATTTTATGTATTTTGTTTACAAACAAATCAAAAAAGTAATAAAAAACAAAGACTAATTGACTGTGTATATACAGTTATCCACTTGAAACTGAGAATCACTGCATATGAAATGAAAAGAATATTATTGTAATTAAGTTTGATTGGGTACTATAAATAATTCCTCGATCTAAGAGCTACTGTAATAAAAAGAAATTTTTATTTGTAGCATTTTTTAAGAAGCATTTGAAATCAGTACCTTAAACACTTCCCTTACTTAATTCCGGTTGTAATTTTTCATGTTTTTAGTTAACGAGCAAAAAGAGAATTAAAAGAACTGAGGGTGCCCAGCATAATTTCGTGATTAAGCCATACCCCCAAAGAAGATTTCAATTAACCCAGTGTCCCGTCCACTTGTCTCCTAATTGTCCGTCTTCCACTTTCTCGATGGCACTCCTCCGATTTGCCCCACACAAATAATCCCCACAAATTGCACAGCGCGCAGCAGAAACAATAAACAGACTAAGTAGTGGTGTGGCATGAAGGCGATGCCAAACAAAGAAAGTAGATTGAAAAACAAGCCAAAACCAACACAAATCGTTGTTCGGCAATTTTCAGCCAGCCCATCCACCCACACACACACCTGACCCCCAGAAACTATGGCGTTTTCACCTTTGCAGACTCAAAGTCAGCTCCGAAAAAGGGGGCGGGAAAACAGTCAGGTGTGTAATTGCAATCCGAATTGGTCAAGTGTAACAATGCAAAGACGGAGCTCACATCTCACACCTGCTGCTGCCAAACGGGGGAATCAATTTGATCCTTGAACTTAGGCAACAAACTGAATCTGCAACTTGCAACCTGCAACCTGCAGCCAGGATCGGGACTCCCCAGCCCCCGAAAACCCCGGGGAGCGAAATCAAATTGCAAATTGCATCCGAAAATGTCACGTGCATCGACACATTTTTCGGAGCCAACTGTCTGAGGGTTCCTTTTTGACCCGGCCCCGAAAACCATACCATGCCGAGCGGAGATGTCGTGACATGGTCGACATGGGCAAAGGTTATTGCAATCGCCCGCCAGAGCAATCAGTGGACACCAGACACGAATGGATACCGCCGATGCGAAGGGCAGATCCGGGCGGAGGTGCCCACAAGATGTTTCAGGAGTGGGTAGAACTAAGGAACTAGCTTATAGCTATTATGGTTCTTGGCATTAATTGTGGGCCATTATGTCCTCAAGAAGTTCTAAGAACTGGTATAACTTGAGAATTTGCTTATAGCTGTTCTAGAATTTCGAATAAATTGTGGATTGTTATTTAGATTTAGGAATTTTAGATTAAAACATATTTAAACATGTTCATCTTTATTTCAAAGTACTAAGAAGAGTTGATGTTCATACATTTTAAAGTCTTAATAAACTCAAAATATGAAATATTATTTTTGAATTTAATAAACAGATAAATTATGATAAACACACTCGATGTTAGTTAACTTAACTAATTGAGTAAATAACAATTTTAAAATAGCTAGGGTATGCAATGGTTTTTATTAAAGATAGGTAAACTATTTATCGAAAATTTAAAATCTTATGAAGATGACATGTTTTTTTCACTAACTGACTGGAGTTATTTAAAAAACTCATGACAACCTAAGCATTATTTATTTATTGATTTAATAATAAGTTTATAAAACGTTGTTAGGAGATGCATCTTATTCTCTCTTTTAAAATTAGTCCAGTCAGTGTCATAAGGTATCTTTTACCAACAACTCAACATATTTAAAAATTAACCAACAAGAAGATTTGGAAAATATCCAGATGTATCTAAAAAATAGTCACGATGGCAGCACCTTTTCGGGGCTAAGGACTCGCAGTCTGCACCTGCAGGATACTGCACTCTTTGTCACAAAGGCGGGTAAGGGCGGGGAAGGGGGCGTGGTTCGAGGGGCGGAGCGGGTGGCCGCCCCATTCATTATGTTGACCACGCTGTCGCATTTGCTACGTGACATTCTGCTAACTGCCCTGAAAATGGAGCCAGTGCCTCGTCGCACTTGGGCCATTGTCGGCTCAGCTTATAACCCTATAGCCGGCATAAGCCAGAAAGTGGGGTATTGATCAACACCTTCAATACCCTAAGTTGGATTTTCCTATTTTAGGATCACCATTACCAACTCCCTGAATTGTTTATTATAAAGTTTTAAAGAGTTAAGTCTTAAGTTAAATCAGCTTTATAGACCACAGTCAAAACATTTTGGAGTACTTTATTTAACTTACCTTACTTTATAATTAATTTACTTATCTTCTTTCTATAAGATACCTATTTATTTCCCTATCTAATTATATGTACTTATCTTATTTAATATATTAGGTATCAATATCCTTTTTGTAAAAGACTTATTATCATAAAAACCCCCTTCTATAAAAGACCTACCTAAGGTAACTACCCCCAACTGACTGATACCCTGTAAAAACCATACCGATAAATGTCCTCCCACCGTCGCAGAATTAGATTGCAGTTAGTTACCACCCCTGCAGCTCATCCTAATCCATCCTCGTCAGCTACTAATACTAATATGCCCATTGGGGACGTGATTGCAGCGATTCCATTCAGTTAGTCCAGGGTTCACTGCATCATTCCGTATTTTGACCGCCAGTGAGACTTGGCCAAATTGACTTGGGCTCCGGAGCTTTTTGTCTTGCAATTTGAGCTCCCACTAACTGCCCTCGATCCCCGGCGATGGGTGCAGTTCATCGTGCTGCCAAATTTATCCAATTGCATTGCCATTACACTATACAAAGTTATGGCAATCTCTCTCCGGAGAATCGCATACAGCCAGCGGAACGGGAAGAAACAATACAATATACGCTACCCAGTTCGAAAGTATCGGGATTGCAACTTGGAGGCGGCTTCGAATGGCGAGTAAATAAAGCGTCTGGGAAGCAACACCTCCGGCACATCCTAGCCACATCTATAGGTACATCCTCCTCCGCAATCGCATCCTTGGAGCAGGAGTTGAGTTATGAACGTGCTGGGAGCAACAAAGCGAACACAACACCCGCAATCCGGGAACAGAAACTGAAAAACTTGGAGGGAGGGAAGCCTTGTAAAGTAAATGTGCAAACATTTATTTATGTGGCCTGCCAAGCAGCACTTTAAAGCTCTGCAATTGCCCTGATTTCGGGAGGAGAGCTCTGCTAGTTTATGTAGAGTCCTGCGAGTGCAACTGGATCTGTAACTGGACTTGGCAAACAAATGATTTGTGAATTCCTGCATAAAGGGAGTGCCACATTTTAAACACTAGGTTTATTTGTTATACAGCATTATAATTCATCCTTCTTTAAATCCATATGTTCTGAATCATAGTTCAAAGAAATCTGTTTAATTGACCTTGTGATATTATAATTTTCAAGGCATCCTAAGATTTTTTCTTCTTCTTATTCGACTGATATTTAGATACATTGTAAACATAAATACTCGAATCATTTGTTTTTCTGGTTCTATGTCAGAATCACAGTAGTCTTTTAAAAACAAAAAATGTTGAAGGTCGTCATTTATCTTGCTTTGTAGAATATTTAAATCCCTAATTTAGCTCTCATGACGAACCACAAGTTTTAATTTTACCAGTACCACAAGTCAATTCGAATTTCGTACCTGAAAAAAGTTTAAGCTTTATAGTCCCATTTAGTTCTGGCTGAAACATCATTATTTGGCACACACTAGCTCCTGGTTTTGTTCCTGCAGTCGCATTTCAATTTTAATGAGCACTTGAGAGTTTCACGTTTTTAGCCGTAACTTTAATTAACAACAAAAGTCATGGTCTTGGCCTGCCAAAAAATGAAAACAGAGAAAGCAAAAAAGAAAGGCAATGAAAAAGCTTAATTTGTAAGTGAAGGAAAGGCGCCCAACACGGGGCAGGAGAAAAGGAGACGAAATAAAAAGACACATGAGGCCCGGAAATTTTCAAATGGAACTTGGTTTTCCTTGGTGTTCCAAGGAACATGGGGCACATAAAAAGTCGCCAGCAAGTAGTTTTTGCTGCTCTTCCCTTCTTTTTGGTCCCTGGCCCTGGAAAATGTGTTCCGTTTTTCCTTTTTTGGGGGGTTAAGGATTCGGGTTTGGGGCCACGGCTGCCGAAGTTGCTGCTGTTGGCGTTAAAAAAGCGGAAAATCGCAGCACATTTTTGCTTTTTAATTAAGCCCTCAATTTTTTATGTTCCATTCGAAAGCGACACGCCGTGATTTTCCTTCTGCTCCCTGTAGTTCCCCCTACCATCTCACATCCTTGGGCCCGGACACAAATAGTTCACTCTTACAGCCAGCGGCATGTGGAGTGTAAGTGTGCGAACATGGGTTAAGAGCCGGAGCAGCTTGACAAATTATTCTTACTCTCCGGCTCAAATTAAAAGGCGACTGTTTTGTTCTCCGCTCCGGCTTGAGTTCCAGTTTTAATTATCAGATACAAGGATTAATAAAATGCAGTTGATACCCAGTACTGGCCAGAAGTTTACTGAGTTAAGGCTTCTTTACTTGCTGCTTTAGGGTTTTTTGAAACACTTTTTTCCTTGACGAGGTAGCATTACTAGCTCTGATTAAATTCGATACTGACTATTAAAAGATACTATTAAACGACCTTCTCTTTTTTTAGGGGAGCTGTGTAAAAGCAAAAATAATAATGTTTCAAAACTGAAAGGCTTCAGCTCATAATATACTCATACTTAAAACCTATTATAGTTTTTAAAACCATTTAACTTATTTATAAATAATTTCCCAATAACTCATTATCCAAAATAAAAGAGTGCACGTAGGAAAAACTTTACTAAAATTACAGTGAAAGCTGACACACAACACACCTCTCGAAGTAAAGCTTTAAATATATCAGGTTGCCCTCCAGACCGATCAGTTCTCTTCAGACCTGAGTCGCGTAATGTTCGCAGTCGGTTAAAAATAATGCTAATTTGGTAATAGCGAACGTTGAACCAGCATTGATTGGCACGTGACTGCAATTGCTTCGAGTGTCTCAGTAAAAACACCTTAAAAGCAGAGACAATTCGGGTTACTTTGGCTGAACCGGTTTCATAAATTCTATAACGCGAAAGTTGAGTGTTTTTGGACTGAAGCTAATCAGCTTGAAGCGGTGCACTTTATAGGAGTCCACTAGCCAGCCATTCTCCTGCTCGTCACTTGCAATATCTTTAACTGAATCCGATTCCGACTCTGAATTTGGAGGATCCACTCTGGAGGATTCCCCCAGTTCTTTGCAGAAGGTGAGTACCAATTCGGCAATAGCTAGTCGGCAATTGTTGGGATCAAACTTTTCTTCGATCTGCGAATCTGCCAGGACGCCCTGAATCCGCTGGATCATTTGCTGCTTCTCCTCGGCACTACCAAGATCCAGCAGATTCCGCAGGCCGACGAAGAGCATGTCCACCAGGACATAGCAGCGTCCGTCGATCCACCGACGAACCACTCTCACCGGGAGGGCATGTCTCAGGTGCTCCCTCTGGAATCGCACCAAGCTCCCATAGGAACTGCGCACCTGGGACAACCCGTATATATCCGCCGATCCGCGCTCCGTGCAGCAACTCCGGATGCAGGGCCAATCCGCTTGACGCACTGCCTCGATCATGGTGGCCGCCGCCTGGCGGGTGCCCTCCTGGAAGCCGCCCTCGTCGAAGGCCACGCCCAGCAGGCGGCGGAGGCGCCACAGGCAGTAACGGTGCCTTAGTCCACTGAGCAACTGCATCATCCCAAGTTTCCAACGGAGCCGCCTCCTCGACATGTGGCATACTCCACGGTGAAGTTGCAGTGCTGCGGGGTGGAGCGATTGGGAAGTGGTTGGAGCATAGCTATAGCCACCACCCCGCGCTAAACACATAATTTTGGAGATGCTCGAACCACGCATAAACCTCAAAAACATATTCCAAACAAAAAAGACTAACCAAAGAATTAAACAAACTAGTGAAGAGTGAGTCGAGGCCTACCTACAGTCTTACTCGCATTATTCGAAATTCGTATACCCTTGCAAAAAGGTTTATAATTTTATATACAATCATATAATCTTCTACTCTGAAATATTTTATATCAGAGCAACTATAAACATTATATAAAAATATATATGTATGTCACGCATAAATTGGTTTACATACAGTTTAATTGGTTTTTGTAATATGATATTAGAAAGCAGTGGTTTTATATTATAAAGTGGTTTATATAATTATAATCGGTGCATGATTAGTTGATGAACCATTCTTACTTAAGGGCTAGCATTATGTAAAACCTTTCACAAAACGAAGTTACTGATCAGTTAATTCCCATTTTTCTTCTACAGCATGTCGCAGCTCAACAAATATTTATTGGTTCTCTTGATCTTCGTAATTCCTTCTACATGGGCTACGTACGATCATTATCGCTTGCCTAATGCACTGGAACCTCTACACTACAATCTGCGAGTTGTTACCCATTTAAATAGTACAGATCAAAGATTTGAGGGCTCTGTAAAAGTAGACATTCTAGCAAGGGAGTCGACCAAAAATATAACTTTACACTCCTCAAATTTAAAGATAGATGAGGATCGTACGTCAGTTAGGTCTGAATATGAAACAATCAGCGTTACTAGCATTGAAACAAATGAGGTGTATAATTTCTATACCCTGCATTTAAGTCGTGAATTGGAGAAAAGTAAGATCTATCAGTTGGAAATGCACTTTGAAGCCAGGTTAAATGATTCCCAAAGTGGCTACTACAAAAGTAACTACACGGATGCGATTACCAAAGAAGTTCAGTAAGTTTAAAGATTAATATTTCATAGGTTATGTATATAACACGTTTGCTTTAGTCATCTTGCAGTCACCCAATTTTCACCTACATTTGCCAGGCAGGCATTTCCCTGCTTTGATGAACCCTCCTGGAAATCTACCTTCAATGTGACTCTGGGTTATCACAAAAATTATACGGGTCTTAGCGGTACACCCATTCTAGCATGTCAAGATCAGTAAGTATATACTCTTTCTGCTCAATGAGATAAAGACAATTCTTACTGTCCCTATCTACTTGCTTCAGTGAAAGTCTGGAAAACTATGTTTGGTGCGATCACGAACCGCTTCTGAGGACCTCGACTTATTTAGTAGCCTATGCTGTACATGATCTGAAAAACGCAGCCACCCAAGAAAGTACGACCCACAACAGAGTGATCTTTCGCAACTGGATGCAGCCAAAGTTATTGGACCAGGAAATGATTTCCTTGGAGATAGCTCCCAAACTGTTAACATTTTATGAGAGTCTATTTCAAATGGATTTCCCCCTGGTAAAAATCGATCAGCTTACAGTGCCCACTCACAGATTTACGGCAATGGAGAACTGGGGTCTAGTCACCTACAACGAAGAGAGATTACCCCAAAACATGGGATATGATCTCCAGCAGCAAAAGGATCGAACAAGCTCTACTGTTGCCCATGAATATGCCCATCAGTGGTTTGGAAATCTGGTTACCATGAAATGGTGGAATGATCTTTGGTTAAAAGAGGGTCCGTCCACCTATTTCGGCTATTTGGCATTGGATGCTTTACAACCTGAACTAACAAGAGGTGAACGCTTTATAGATATGGATTTGGCAAACTTTTTTGACAAGGACTCGAATGGTACTGTACCCGCTATTTCCAAGGAAGTGAAAGATCCTTCAGAGATTCTCGCACAATTTACGGAATATGTTTATCAAAAGGGGTCGTTGACCATGCGCATGTTGCATAAGCTGCTTGGAGAGGAGGCATTTTTCCAAGGAATTCGTTCTTATTTGAGCAGATACTACTTGAGAAATGTGGCTCAAGAGGATCTCTGGAACTCCCTTGAAGAGGCTGCCCTGCAAAAGGAAGTAATTCCCTTGGACTTTAGTTTGAGTAAAGCCATGGATTCTTGGACCCTGCAGGGTGGATATCCCTTGGTTACCCTTAACCGCAACTACGAGACGGGTAGTTTAACCCTCAAGCAAACCAGATTTTTCAAAGGCCAGGAAATCGGCAGTGATTCATCCTGCTGGTGGGTACCCTTGAGTTTTATAAGACAAAACATACCCGACTTTGATCAAACGATCCCAAAGTTTTGGTTGAAGTGCCCTTTGGCCATACAAGATCTGCAGTTGCTGGAAACCCCATCCACCGATGAATGGATCATCCTCAACCCCCAAGTTAGCACCATTTTTAGGGTTAACTATGATGAAAAAAACTGGCGCTTGATAATGAAAAGCCTATTGAATGATCCCAACTTTGGTGGTATTCATAGACTAAACAGAGCTCAACTGCTAGATGATCTTTTGGCATTGGCTGCAGTGCAAATACACACATATGATATAGCCTTTGATCTTTTGAGATATCTGGAAAAAGAGCGGGAACTTGGACCCTGGCAAAGGGCTGTAAATATCTTAAATAAACTGGGACCTTTATTGGATGATGAGGATGCAAAGCAATTTAAAGTGAGTTTATTTAAAGTTTTGTTTACCATATTTAACTATTGTTTCTATACTTAGATCTACATGCAAAAGATGCTATTGCCCTTGTACAGGAGCTTTCCAAAGCTATCCGGAATAACAGGATCAAACACTGCCATCAAGGATATTCCATTTGCTCATTTTGTGTATTCCCAGGCCTGTCATTACCACGTAGATGATTGCACCGATCAGGCCAAGATCCTGACTATATCCCATCGAAATGGTGACAATCTGGAACTACCCTCAAGTTTCCAACAGGTTGCCTACTGTTCTTTTCTGGAAGAAGGAGGCGATTCGGAATTCGAGAATGTATATGGACATTTCCAAAACACTACGAACGAATCTCAAAGAAGGATATTGGCATCGTCTCTCGGTTGTAGTCGAAACTATAAGAATTTCGAGCAGTTTTTGAACTTAACTCTACATTCCGATGAAAAACCTTTAAGCGATTGTTGCATGCTGGCAGTAAAAACAGCTTTGAGTAGGGACTATTTGGTCTCTCCCACAGGGAACTATATCCTAAGTCATGCCAAGACTTTGGGGTAAGTTTATCACATATCACATTACAAAACTTAGCTCAATAATCCTTTCCTTAGTGAAAAATTCAAAAAGAAACAGCTCACAGAACTATTGCTCATTTTGGCTGGAAATCTTCGAAGTGCGGAAGAATTGGAACAACTTAAGGAGCAGTTAAAAGATATCAAAACCTTCGAAGAAGCTCTACAAAAAGCACTTCATCTGGGCAAAATAAATCAGAAATGGCAGAAAGACTGTTCCAGTGATTTTATTAGGGCAATTGAAAAACGTTTATAAAATGTTTACTATTTATTAGCTGCCATTTTAATAATAACATTATTTTATTTGATGTGAGCTAAGAGTTAAGAACTTAAAATTGTTCTTTTATAAATTAAATTTAGATACATAAAGCTTTTCAAGATCTTTCTTCCACTTACTTTCCTTACTTGAAACCTTACTATTTTTAAACTCACATATCCTGAAATAGTTTGAAGGATTTTCAGGGGTAGGCACCTGTGTCAACTAATTCTGGCCAAGATTCGCTGAGCTGTCAGGTTCCAGGTTCTCGGCATTAATTAAGGCGATGGTGATGAAATCTTGGAGCCGGCATTGAAAGGAATAAGGAATGGGAGTTGGGAGCGGTCAGGGGTCAGGGAGTGGGACTCAAGGAGGCCGGCTGTCAGAAACGGGTCCTGTCAGGACTTTGACTGCTGGACGTGGACTGTGGATTGCCTGACACGAGACACGGGACACACACCGACACCATCCATCCAGCAGCTCCTTTGTTTTGGCGGAGCTGCTTGGCTTGGTCCTTTCTGGCATTTGACGTTTACACGGGTACGTCAAAATATGTATTCCTCACTGCCAAATGCCACATACCCACCGATGATGACGATGACATGTGGAAAGAACATGGAAATGGCGGCCCGGCTTTTAGTTATCCCCTTTGTTTGTCATCTGAATGGGATTCCAGCGGATCCTGGGATTCACAAGCTGGCTGCCAATTAGACAAATTAATCGGTTGTAATTGATGTGCCAGGGGGTTAATGGATAGCAGTGCAAAAGTGAGACTTAGGGCGTCAATCAGGCGAAAGTAACTGCCAATTGCAACCAATTTGATGGGCTATGCAATCTTGTATCGCAGCCACTTAAACTTGCAGTTACCAAGAATCACTGATTTGTTTTCTTTGTTGACTGCATCAAAAGGCAATTAGGAATATTTTGAAGGATTACAGCTGACAATCGCCTCGAGACGATGAAATCTAATTCGATTGAAAGCTTAGCCATCAAATTAATACAATTAATAGAAAATATTTTGAGCTGAGGCGGCGGTTAGGAAAGACATGGCATTTTGACAAGCTGCTTCATGTTATCCTAGCAGAATTTCTGACAAATTTCAAATCAATTAAATAGACATTTCATTAAAAAGGCCTATTTCTCAATGTCATGTTAGCTTATAATGTTGTTTTGAAAAACATTAGTTTAATTCTATTAATTAGGTCTTGCTTTTCAATAAACATTACATTGAGAATTTTTCATTCCAAACAATATAGCTCATTTTAAATTTCTAACATATAACAACTAAAAAATTAACATGACATTGAGAAATCGATCCCAAGATAATGTTAGCCTCCCGAAATAAATTCCATCCCTCTCACCATAGCCAATAATTATACTAAGAACTACAAAAAGTCATTTAAAAAATTCTCTTGACAATCATTCGGAAGCAAAGTTCATTCAAGTAAATATCGCGCTGAATCAATCAATTGATGACCCATAATTGAGACCACAAAGGGAATGCGTATGCACATACATCTTATATAGTATGCATGGTTATATGCCGCGTTAAAAATTGCCGGGAAATGCATACATAAATGCAAATGCAAATGAAAAGTGGCCCTGTCAGAAAAATTAACGCTATTAATGCTTGTTAAAAGCGGTTATTAAATTAATTAAATGTGATGCCAGCTTGACGTG